AAAAGATATTATTAATATTTCTTATACTAACGAGAATAACACTGTCCTATACCATTGGAGGAGTATGAGACGCGCTTTTTTTAATTACTTTCAAACTTGTATGACTTTGTCTTGTATCAAAAGATTTTATAAAATGCAAAAAATTTATGAAATTTAAAAATTATGAATATAGAATATACACATATAGGGAATCAACGAAATATAACATTGAGCAGACGGTGAAACATGTATGCGAGCGTACAGTAATAATTCAACAGAGGTGAATAGCTTGGATTAACAAGTAGTTAAATCTTAAATTGCCATTTTTCAGCTCTATTCTGATCATCATCATTATGGTTGCCAGTTTTTTATTTCATCATTTTTTCATTCTAAAGATTATTTCAGAAGTTTTAGCTGGAGAAAATCTGTTTTATTTGCGGAGGAGAAGGTTGTACTACGGAGTTAAGTGGTTGCATTTTATAGTTTTCATCTACATCATAGCTAAATTCAAAACTAGATTCTTCAGCTTGCGTGATATATAGGAAAACAACGATATGTAACATTGAACAGCCGATAATACTTTGCACACAAACGTGCTGTAATCAAAACTACAAATATAAATAGCATTGATTAACAATCTTTTAAACTTCATTCGCAAAATAAATATTGCGATAAGTATGATGATAATGTTGAAAAAAGATACGAATTAATTTTTTCAATGCTAAAGTCATCAAGACATAATTTTGTCAACAACTATCTCAATCGGGTCTGGTACTTTATTTAATTTCATTTTGGAAAAAACGGCGCAAACTTCAGATCTAAACATTTTGGCACTTTTAGGTCTTTTTCAGTCAGAGGCTTTACACCACGAATATCATCAAAAAGATCGTAAATGTTTTCAGTCCATCTTTCAAGTACTTTTTCTATCTCTAAAATTACTTGACCGGAGTTAGCTTTTTGCATCCAGAAACAGTACAAACCCTTTTTCTAGTCATTTCTTAGATGTTTTAATACATTGCATTTGTTTTACGGTTTTCGCACTTAACATTTAACCATTTCTCTTTTGCCTCTAATTACATTATTTTGATTGTTTTGTCCAGCTTTTTGTATCTATCAGAAATATAGCCTTCAATTTCCATCGTTCATCAATCAAAGATACGATGTCATGGGTCATACATTTTTGAACTCGACTTTTCTCCTTCACAGGTATAACTTCTCTTGCGGAATCCGTGAGGGCATCTCTAAATATTTATTATTTAGATTTATTAACGTATTCTGTCAATAACTGAAAATGATTCCGTACTTCAACATTCTACTTAATCTTGGTTTCATTATTATGTGACAGACTAACAAAATTCAAATGTTTTAAGGCCTCGTTACTTTTGATTATCTTTAACTTTTTCCACATTCAAAAATAATACTTTCTAGGTTCTTCTTTAGTGAAGTGTTGTAATGTTACAACTAATAATTGTAAATATTTTACCACAATTCGTCTTTGTAAATATTTTGAACAGAACATAAAGGGCATCATGATACAACTTTTTATTAGATAAATAATAATGCTCTACAGCCTAAACTGATAAACTTTGATAAAATCACCCTTAAAAAAATAATAGGCGTTGGAGGGTTTGTAAAAGTTTTACGAGGCATCAACGGAAATGAAGAGGTGGTGGTGCATTTACAGTTACTTTGTTAATATTTTTTTTACTTATTGATATGGTTTAATTGCTTTGGTGCTATGTTTGATTGTGACTTTGTTAATATCACTACTTCTTTACAGATTGATATGAATTCTTCATTTTAGCTATTTGCTTTGTGCTATGTTTGATTGTGCTAATTGCTTTATGTATTATTGTGCTAATTGTTTTGTTGATAAACTGCTGATTTTATACAAACTTCTATCAGTTTTGGATTCATATAGAAAAATGATTTATTATTTAATTTATGTTTAATTTCATTGAAACAAATATATCCGCTAAGATTTAGTACAGGTTTCATTTTCACTAATTTCACTTATGAACTTTGAATGCACTCTATCACATCATGTCAACTTTCACTTTAGATGTGGCAGATGACAAGTAACCAGATTTTAAAATAAACATTCCCAATTCTTCTTTGGTGAATCTTTGTAATTTAAATGTAAATAAAGTGTGATAATAAAATGATAAAACAAAGGAAAAAAATGTGAATAAAAAATAAAATGTAAAATAAAATAAATAAATAATAAAGTAAGCAATCAAAAACAGGTTTGCGTAAAATTTTACCAGACCGGTTAAAATTTTAGATCAAAGATGGTTCAAGGTAATCAGTAGGTTAAGAGAAAATAATAGATTTATAATATTTAATTTCAAGGCTCTAAAAAAGAATATTCACAAATTTACAATTATGTTATATTAATTATTGTAGTTTATTAATCGTTGTAAATCAAGAAAAATGTTACATAAAATTGTAACGTTACCAACAAAAAGTTAGCTGGAAAGCTTTGTCCTGAAAGTATATGATCATTTTCCAATTGGATTGTAAACTATTGTTTATTCTTTGTTTTACTTTCTATCGTATTCTATAAATATTGGGTTGAGGCTATGATTGTAAATTTTGGTGTTAACCATTTTTTACCACCACTGAGAGACGGAGGATATTATATAAGAGAAGATAGATTGAGTGACGATGAGCTGTGGAATATTGGCGATCTGGCTACGTCAAATCTATTTTTTGGATTAGCAAATGGTATATCGGTTCTATTAATTTCAGCATTCATATAAACATTTAAACAAGTCTGTGTTCGAAGCAGTTGTGTTTAGCTGCAATCACTGAACCTGCAACTGATTAGATAACTTGAAGATAGTGCAGAGGCGGCGTTATAGCAGTGTTAAAGCCATAGCTGGTGTCCCAAGTTAGCTATATCAAAGTTTGAGTTTAAACGTAAAGAATGTCATTTGAAAAGTTTGCAGAGCTTTATTTTGACAGCGATTACCCTTTTTTTCCCGATCCGATTCAAAAAATTGAAAGTGTATCTGGAGAATGC